ATATACATAGCCACATAGTTAGATTTCTATGAATATTTTTTAATATTGGGAATCTCACATATACTGCATACAAAACCAATCTGATCAAAAGTAGGATACTTTGCTGTAATCAAAATGAATCTAGCAGCTACCCAAAGATTTTTGATTATTGTAAAACATAAGTGATAAAGTTACTTTGTCAGCCTTCAAATGAACAATTTGACCTGGAAGTCTAAGATTGTCAGGTCCCCCCCGACCTCTGGAACTGGAAGATCTGCCTTGGGGGTGGCAGTTCATTCTTAGTGACATTATTGAGGCACTGATTTCTGTTCCTTCCTTGTATTTTCTCATTTATTCCCATTCTTCAGGTGAAACAAAAGCCTTGGTGAAATAAAGTGACTTTCCCAAGTCCCCACAGGTAATAGCTCCAGAGCCAATATTTGAACCCAGACTGTCTATCTGCACCCTGACCTGTAGGTTTGTGGGAACCTGACTCAGTTAGATCATTTGGTACTTTAGAAATTGCCTGGGGACAGGAGTGGCAGCTGAGAAGAACCTTTATGCTAGAGCTCCAAACCTGCCTTGAACTGAACTATTGAATGAGGTCTCTGTGTGTCTTCAAACCGTGCTCCCACAAGGAGGGAAACCAAATGAAGCCTCCCCCCAAATACTCATTTGTAATCCTAACCACCTTCTCTCCGTTTTGCTGTCTTTCTCCTCATTATGTTACCATCTGTCTCAGAAACATTGCTTGGATAAAGACAAGTTGGAGCAGTTGCTCGCCCTCAAACAAAACAGAATTACTTCTCTTATCCCCCCAGAGCAGTGCTGAGCACCATATTTGAGAAGTTCCATATTTATAAAGCTTGCCTGTGCCTCAGAGATGCCTGGTTGCTGTCCTTTTTTATCATTCTTCAAATATGTTATGTGCTGGCTGGAAACGATTAGCTTTTGTTACTGAGGGGTTTGTGTGGGATGCTTGACTTTCTTCATACATTGGGTTGTCGGAAAAGTCATGACGTATTTTTTCTGTTTTTTTGTTTCAAAAATGCGTCATGGCTTTTCCGACAACCCAATAGTTTTCAGATGGATATCCATCCATGTCGTTTTCTCCTTTAAGAAGTGAAGTTTCTTAATGAAAGACAGCATAGGAGGGAATGCATGCTGAGGTTTCTTTTTGTACCCCCCCCCACACACACACCCTCCATTCCATGGTTTTCCCTTAGGGTAACTATGGTAGAGTTTTATGTCATGACCTTGTAGAGAGAATAAACAAACACTGGGTCTCAGGTACTTTTGTCTGGGTCTGAAACCACTTCCTTGAATCCTGTTTGGGGGCCCCTTGTTGATGTATGGGCAGCATGCTGTCCTGAACAGAGCTGTAGTGTGTTTCCTGCAGTCTTTGACCATTCATCTTTCCTGGCTGACGAGTTTCTATGTCTTGACCCATTTGGGCCAACTGGAATGGAAGTTGTTGAGTAGTTTCCTGGCTGGCCATGGCCCAATTCTGTACTGGTTTTGGAAACTCCGAGGAGTTTGAACAGAAAGGCCCAAACAGATGTCAGATGTATAATCAGACGCGTATTTAAACCACTGAAACTGAGGAAAATTTGAATTGGCTAGGTGTTTGTTATCTTTAGTAAAATAGTTACAATTCATTCTTAAAGTTATAGAATTGTATTTTTCTCATGCAGAAATGGTATTTAGGGAATGGCTCAGGTGTGTATTATTCCAAAACAATGGTACAAAGAGCAGTTAAGGGGTAGAGCTGGGATGATGATGAGAACAGAATAGCCAACCCTAACACAGTACACACTATCTGTCAGGCAGCTGCTGTGTTCGGCACTTACATATACACTGACCCATGCACAAAGTAAGGATTATGGGTGCCAGTCAGCCACACAGTCAAATATCCACATATAATTATGGTATTAGCTTTTTAACCCAAGTATCACAGCTAGGAACAGCAGAGGCAGAAATCAAACCCCAGTCTGGCTCCAGGCTTTTAAAATATAGAGGGTGCCAAAAAAATGTATACACATTTTAAGAAAGAAAAAAACTATTAAAATTACGTGGATGGTAACATTTTCAGCATGTCTTGTAACTGCAGAAGTCAAACGTGACTTGTATTCATCTTTTGTTATCAGGATATATTGAGTATTACAATTTTAATACAGTTTTTTCCTTAAAACGTGTATGCATTTTCTTTTGGCACCCTCTGTATGTTATAGATTCTTTTAGATGCCAGAAGTTTTAGGTGTTTGATTTTATTAACATTCTGTTTTCATAGTCTTTTTATTTCCATTGAAAGCCATATAATTATAGATTTTTATGTTCTCTATGTATCATAGAAGAGAGCCAATAAAGTTTTACTCAAAAAAAGTCAGTGGCTAGATTAACACATCCCTGTTGAAGTATGAATAAGTTTTAATAACTGAATGAAAAATAAGTGCACATAGTTATGATAGAAAGACCTCAAGTATAATTTAGAAATGTACTTCTAAATAGTTTTGTGTCAATTAAATTTCTAAAAATCCTGTAAGTAAATTCAATGTGGGGTTTCTTCTAGCAAAACCCTTAAAGAGAATCTTTTTTGTAAAGTGAATAGTTAACTCCTGGTTTAACTGTTTTTCACTGTTTCAGAGTGTATACTTTTCCTCTGCTGTCTTCTACCAATTTGAAATGAGATATTTGAACATTTTTATATATAATAGAAATAGAATGTTTTCTGTATTATAACAAAATTAGTTATCCATCCACGCATAATCAACAATAAATGTCAAGCCTTGGTGTGAGCAGTTTCTGATTTTGCTCAAGGTTAGAGGACGTGTGCTGAAAAGATAGCTGTAGTTAAACTACTCGGACAGATATTTTTGTGTGGGGAATTGCACTTCTTACTATTGCATTCTTCTTGTCTGTGTAATACCTGGGAATAATTTATTCTATGTAATGCCACCCCCATCTTTGTAGTAAATTTTTACTGAGGTGGAAGATGTTTAGGCATGCCAATATTTTTAATTAGAATTTTCACAGATCACATTTTGATTTTCAGGTTTTTATTTTGCACCTTTTAGGCAGGTTGAGATTAAAGGACTCTACGGATTTGTGTGTATGTGATGTGGTTGTATTGCGTGTATGCTTGTATGTGAGCAGCTCAGGTTAGAATGTGAATCGCAGTAAATGCAAAACTGAAAGCTGAAACATGGCTCTCATTCTCCTGACCACTTCCTGAAGAACCTGCCACGTGGGCCCCAGACTTAAAGACTTAAACTTTGGTCCTCAGGACAGAAAGAACCTGAGACCGCCATGGTAAAAGCCTCTAGCAGACCTAAAAGTATAAAACCTGTTTACTACTCTCATGAACTCAAACATTTGGTTGCCTCAGTTGTAAAATTTGAAACAAATATTTGGGAATGGGAACAGACACTTGCCATACCTTAAAAGTAATCATGCAACATTCTCGTTTACATGATCCAGTTCTCTGAAACCATTTAGAACGTGCATTCTGATCCTGAAATGTACAAGTTATAAAAGAAAAATGTGAGCTTGTCAGATTAACTACAATCATCAGTCTAATAAAACTGAGTCACATCCAAATGGGCTGCACTTATGCTACCCTCCCATTCTAGGGAAAATGTGGCTGGGGGAGGCAGTCTGAGTCATCACCTGGTTTGTTTGACATACACTTCCTTCCATAAATTGGGAATGGCAAGCAGCACAGCGTTGTGGGCTTGCCTTGGAGAAGGAGCTGTTGCAGCCTTGCACAATCAAAATAGGGCCTTTAGGTTTGAAGGATGAAGCAAAGCCCTTATTTTGGCTTCAGATGTCAGGGGCAGGGGAGAAACCAACAGAGCCTAACAAAGAACATTTGTAAGTATCATGGGGGGGGGGTCAAAGAAATGTACGAGTGTTCAGTTAAATTTTTGGTGTACGTAAATATTTAAGAAATAAATTAGGGGTGTTAAAAATAAATTGGTAGCTGGTTCATCCGGGGTTGGGGGGGAGGCTCGTTTTCTTAACAAGATTGTTCTTCATGTGAATAGTACAAAATGAAAGACACGGGTGAGTAGAGAGAGGCATATGATCTGGAGTTACCATACAGATTTGTCCTGACAGTTTTTAATTTTGCCTGATTTATCCAAACATTTTGAAAGAAATGTATTTCGTTTAAGAAACTTATTCATGGCAAACCTTGAATCTCCTTTAAGAGGTGTTTTGAAGGGTTGGGGAGAGGGGATTCGTGTGTCTCACACATTTTCCTCTTACAGCAGCTTTGCAGAGGCTCACTGGAGCTTTTTAAAATAAGTTTAGAATGTAAAATTGTTGTGGGGACTGTGGAGGAAGGGAAAAGAGGAGTAGATTGATAGCTGAAGTGGGTTTGTAAACTCAGCCCCTGTTTTGGAATTATTTTTTATTAATGTGCCAGTCATTCCTCTGATTTCCATCTTGACTTGGTTGTGGCTCTTTGTCTGTGTGAGGCTCGGGTGTTCCCTGTTTTAAAGCCGGAGTTGTCACAGCCTGGGCGTTTTCTGTTTCGGCTTATGGCTTTTTTTTTTCTCTTTTCCTGAATGAGTGTCCTTTGTGTAACCCCAGTAATTCAGAAATCCTGCAGTAATAGGGACTGCCCTGTCATGTGACCTAGGTAGTAGGTGCTGCCTGCGATTGGTCAGCAGCTATTTGGCGGGTCCCTATAAGAGGTCCTGCTTGGGGCTTCAGGCCACTCTCCTGCCTGGGCTACTGCTCAACAGGAGTGGGGGAGGGAGGGCGGGTGTCCAGTGATTCAGCTACATGTGATAGATGACCAAGTGACTGCTTCCTTTGGGGCCGTGCATCAGTGGAAGACACCCAAACTGGCTGTGGCTGACTTGATCAAACTCTGGCTTCCTGAACTGGTAACTGTCACTTTAATATAGCTTACTGATTAAACTCAGAAAAATGCAACTAAAAATGTTTGCCAGGAACTTGTGTGGACTTACTTACTCCCTGTCTCTCTCCCCCCCCCCTTCTTCATTTTGTCACAGGAATGAAATGTAGATAACTTGTTAAAACTTTTGTAGGAAAAGCGCCTCGTGTGACCTGGAACAAAGACATTTTATAATCAGATTTATCAAGCTGTGAAGAGGGAGTTAAAGTGAACGGAAGCAGCAGCGTTCTGTCACCAGGAAATACTGCTTTATTCAGAATTGGTAAGTGAAAAGTGGCATTGCTCCCTAATAGATATCATATGGTGTGTGGGAATTGTGAAATTATTCACAGACCCCTAACAACTGTGTTGAACCAGAGAACACATTAAACAGAGTGAGGAACTCTAAAAAGGAGCAGCCCAAGAATATAGTGTAAAGGCTGAAAAGCATCCAGGTAATTGACAAAGATGAGCTGAGCATTACCAGTTTAGCCAAATATATATAATACAACTAGTTTGGTAATGTTTCCCTTTTCTTTTTTAGTGGGGGGAGGCAAAATCAAAATGGATTGTTTGGTAGAGCTGTAGCATTAACTTTCTATGGATGTAGATTTCCATTTAGCCTGAATAGTATGTATGGTTTTTTTAAAGGATGCTTTCAAAATTAGTCAACTTGTCCTCCTTTGCCTCCCTCTACCCAAGGATGTCAAGTATTCAGTTAGAGCTCTACAAAATGAAATTAATGCATTGGAAACATTTCCTAATGATTGTAAAACGGAAATTAACATAATTTTTTTACATTTGTATCATGAATTTTAAGATTGTTTTATTTGATTTTACATCAGTATAGCAAATGGGTAGTTATTTCTAAAAGATCCATTACATTTTGAGAGGTCCTATTGAGCAGTTTTTACTGGTGTCCCTGTGTCTGTCTGTCTGTGAAGCCTTGTTTTCTTATCTTGATTCTGAGCTGAGCCTGTGTATAAGATGTACAGAAAAATACTATAAAGCTTTGAGTTACCTGTGTTATATACACTAGGTTGTTGTTCATGAACTGTAAGGAAACACAAGTTCTATCAGGCATTAATGTCTGATTTCTTGATTGGGCTTCTTAAGAATGATTGTACTAGAAAAGTTGACTAGAATAAGAAATAATTAGAATGGTGGGTAGCTACCTAATTTTACCAAGTTTCTTATTGGTCAATAGTAGCAATCATGTGATGTGTACTTATATAATCAGATGGAAAAGAATTGTTCTTTAACTGCTAGCAGTTGTATAGGTAACTTTGATTTCCCTTTATGAATGTGAATGCAGATAATTAAAACTGTTGCTGACAGTTGTAAGTTTTGGGTTATGTAGGATGTAATCTTATTTCTTTTCAGAATCTTAAGCCAAATTGAAAGTTGAGTTTGCAATTCTGACTTTTGGTTCCCATTCTATTACTTTCAAAATCTTAATATCCTTGACTCAAAAGGGAAAAATGTACAATAAAAAAACAGGATAACAGTGCTGCAGTTTCTGTTGGCACTAGAGTGGGATGACGGACGACGGTGGAGGGGAGGGAGATGAATCTAGTGCGATCTATTAATTAGTCTTTTTCTTATTATATAATTTGAGAACTTTTAAGATTATTTTTCTCAAACTAATAGCTTTCAAAGACATAAAGCAAGGTAAGCATGGCCTCTAAGGGCAAGTCCTCCAATAAATCAGATGGGTGATCCAAACGTGTGAATGAATATTACAAGTTATTTGACTTAAGGTGTGGCTGAGGATGTGGAAAAATGCTACTCATTTCTCTGAAGAACTTGAATTTATAGATTTTAGAGTCTTGAAGACAGAATAATGGTGACAAAGCATTAAGATATTGACAGGTAATTTATGCTTGACTGCTAGCTGGTAATCAGTGATTCAGTTATTTTCAGCTCTGTATTTCATGTAAATAAATACTTGGGGCAAAACATGATTTTAATAATCCAGCTAAAGATGCCCATGCTTAATGGAAAAAAAGCTTCTATATAATTTTTAGGCTTGACTCATCCATTTAGAATCCATTGTTTTGAACGATAAAAATATGATAGCAGGTTGAAACAATAAATGCCAGAAAGTATATTCCAGGGGAATTCTTTTAGATCTCCATGTTGTCAATTCTGTTTGCTCTTGTTATCAATTTATTAATTTTTAAAAATACATGCAAGATAAAGAACATAGTGTTGCTCTGAATTCCCCATTGGGGTTATCGAGAGTATTAATATTCTTGTATATTCTGTTAAAAGATAGTAAAGGTACACATGTCTTTGCGGGTATGTAAATCTACACACTGAAAAGAATCAGGTCAAGTGACAGACCTCAATTTCCTTCAAACAGTATTTGATATTTTCATATTCAGGAATAAACACTTTCCCTTTGGACTTGTTTTTCTAAGTATTTTGTGTGGTATACAGTTTTGTCCAATATTTTAAGATACATATATATATATGTGTTTATATATTTGATTGGAAAGGGGAGCTTTAATTGCTAGCAAAACAAGTGGCTGCTTGTTAGAACCTAGATAAGCCTCATAGTGTTGTTCCTATGACAACTGAAGGGTTGAGTGTTGAAATGTAGCTTTAAGTTCTCATTTGGAAATGTCATTCAGACCTCCCACTAGTCTCATTGAGTAGGAGGATAATGAGAAGGGGAAAAAACCATGAAGCAACATAAGTATCTCCGTTCGTTTCATGTCTTCCTGACTTGCCTTTGTGTACGGATCGCCATGGGAGTGGTTAAAACCCTAGGTCCTGAACAAAGCAATACTTCAGTATAAAATAAATGGAAAGGGGTAAAAAAAGTTGGAAGATAAATAACAACATATGAGGGTAATAGGCGGGAGGAGTTGGCTTCCATGGGTTTGTGCAAATCTTTTATCCGGTGTTAACCAGCAGTGAGAACATCTTGAACCAGTTATTGTATAGTTCTTCAAGAGCTGCAAATATTTCCTTAAAATGCAATGTGGAGAAAATTCCTTTGGTACCAGGATAGTTTACCACTTTGGCATAACATTTATTCATCTCCCCTAGGCTGATTACAGAGAACACTGTATTCTTTAAAGGTACATGTTTTAAAGTCAGTCACTTGCCTTCTATGGGAAAGATAAGTTTGTGCTATTAAAATAGTGGTCAAACTAAGATATTTTACCCTATATTCAAAAATTACTTTTAAAAACCCTTAAAGATTGTTTGAGACCTGTTATTTGTGAAAATGCTCCGGTTGACTGAGAATCTTGTGGCACACTGTATTTGGGGGCAGGGAATGTTTAGACTAATATTTGGCATAGATTAGTTATGCAGTTGTGGATTTTCCATGCCTGAAGGGCTTCCTACTTTCTACTCCTAAATGGTTTTGACTATTTATTTGGTCATTAGCACATCCAGAAGAAATTAGAAGGAAAAAAAGATTTTAATGGGATTTGCCCCTTACTTAGGTCCACCATCTCTTCTGAAATCCCAAAAGCTCTGAAAACCAGAAGATTTTAATGTAAAAAATTTCGCAGCAAATCATGACCTGAACTGATGTGAGGCTATTTTGTAGTAATTATTTATTCCTCTTAGTATGAATGTTTGTGTGTTTTATTGTAGCAGTATTAATGTGCTTGATCATGGAATGCTGGAGTTTTACATATATAGAATAGTCACCTTATTAATTTTATAAAATCATCATCATAATAATCTGAGTGTCAGGTAAGGGTTTGTGGAATTTAATTACTGATATGCACGGAGCTCATATTATGTGCCAGGCACTACTTTAAATGAACCACTGGCGTCTAGAAGAGTGCCTGGCACGTAGTAAATACTCAGTAAGATGTGTTTTTGGTATAAAATGCTATAAAGTGTATGTGTGTGTGTGTGTGTGTGTGTGTGTGTTTAAATTTTAATCCTCATGAAAACTAAATGGCCAATATGATTATCTCCATTTTTTTACATGGGGAAGCTCATGCACAGAGAAGTGCAGCAATTTGCCAAAGTAACACACCCAGGAAGTAGTAGAGCCAAAATTTAAAAGCAAGTCTACCTTCAGTCTGCTCCTAATAAGTCCACTTTAGGTATGAGAGAGGCCTTGGAGACATGGCACTGGAACTCTTGACTGAGTCAGAAAGGTGTTTCAACTGTTTATTCCTAGTCACGCCATGCCTCATGTCATTTAAAAGCTGATGACAATTACCGCCCTGGTCATTACCAGGGGCTTGCAGGGCTGTGGAATGCTTATAACAGGTTCTCCTAGGTGGGAGTATAGGAGTTCCAAGGGTCTGAGAGGCTCTTAATCTCTTCAGTTTTCCCAACGTTGATCTCCATCAGCAGTCAGCCTGAATTCTTTATTTATCCTGGTGAAAAATTAAGACGCATGAAATAACTCTTTCCTTAGTCCCAAGGACTTAACCTTTACTAGCTGAAAATGTGTTTTCTTAAACATTTTCTGCACCCTTAACCCAGCAGGAAGTCTGGGCTCTGAGGAGAGAGGACATGGGTCACACCAGAGGTGGCGAGCTCCCTGGGGTGTAGGAACCATACTAGGATCAAGAACCATACTAGGATAAAGCAAGGGCCCCTTGGGGGAAACCAGGCTGGCTGTGGAAGTTGAGCTGCTTGACTTGGAATCCAGGAAAGGATACTTTTAACAGTACTCAAGAAAGTACCTACATAATGTGTCTCTCCAAAACCTGTATATTCCTAGGAATACAAAATGCATTCCAAGCTACTAACAGCCTCCCAAAATTCTATTTCCCAAATTTCCTGCCCCTCTACGCTTCTTAATTTTTCTTCTTAGCACTGATCTCTGTCTGACATCGTATGTTTTGCTTATTTATTCATTTGGTATTTCAGCCAAACTCTAGCAGTAATTTTATCTTTGAACAAATTTAAAGGTCTAAATTTATTTCTCTTTGAGCACCAACTTCAAACTCATTCCCTATCAGTCTCAGACTTCTACAAATAATGATTTTTTTTGTGCATTGGATTTTTCTCACTATTAATTATTATTTTATATACATAGCCATGATCATTTCTTTGTGTTAAACTGTTTTGACTCTGATCAGAATTTGGAGGACTTTATGTCTTCATTCAGGAGAGGAAACTAAGCCAAATTTGAATATAATCATTTAAATCAGGAAGATTTTAAATTCTTAAGGAAAACAATGAAAGTAAAATATTTTTATATTTTATGAACTACCTTCACTTTAGATAAGGAATGAGCTGGGGTGCTGTGCATAACATTCCAATGAAAACATCTTAACACCTACCTACTTGCTC